TGAAAGTCCAGAAATAAACCTGTCCATTTATGGTCAATTGATTTTTGACAAGAGTTATGAAACAATTCAATGAGGAAAGGACAGTCTCTTCAACAAATGGCACTGCAACAACTGGATATCCATGTGCAAAAGAATAAATGTGGACCCCTACCTCACAAAAACGAGTTCCAAATGGATCATATACCTAAATGTAAGACCGAAAATTATGTAACTCCTAAAAGAAAACGTAAGAGTAAATCAACATCACCTTGAGTTATTCAATGGTTTCTTAGATACAACACCAAAAGCACAAGAGACAAAAGAAAAAATATATACAGATTGGGCTTTATGAAAATGAAAACCAGTATTGTAAATGATACTATTAAGAAAGCGAAATGACAACACAGAGAATAGGAGAAAATACTTGTGAATCATTACCTGACATGGGACTTTTAAGCCAGAACATATAAAGAACTCTTCTAATTCAGTAATAAAAAGACAACCCAATTTAAAAATGGGCAAAGAATTTGAATAGACCCATCTCTCCAAAGAAGATATACAAATGACCAATAAACACATGAAAAGATGTTCAACATTATTAATCATTAGGGAAATGCAAATCAAAACTACAATGAGATAACACTTCACACCCACTAGAAAGGCTAAAATCAAAAAAGACAACAAGTGTTGGCAAGGATGTAATGTGAAGAAACTGGAACCCTCCTATTAGGGAACTGCCAATGGGAATGTAAAATGGTGCAACCATACTGGAAAACAGACTATTCCTCAAAAAATTAAAGAGTTACCATATGACCCAGCAATTCCATTCTTAGATATATAGCAAGAGAAATGAAAATATATGCCTAACTCAAAAACATGTATACAAATGTTCACAGCAGCATTATTCATAATAGCTAAAAAACAGAAACTCATATGTCCATCAACTGATGAATGAATAAACAAAATGGAACATTATTTGGCAATAAAAAAGAATGAAACACTCTACATGTTACAAAATGGATGATGTTTGAAAACATTACAGTAAGTGAAAAGCCAGTCACAAAAGACCACATAGCATATGAGTCTGTTCTACGAAATGTCTAGAATAGGCAAATCCCTTGAGAAAGAAAATAGATTAGTGGGTTTATCTGGACCTAGGGTGGGGACTGGGGATGGGGAGTGGCTGATAAAGGGTAAAGGGTTTCTTTATGGGATGATGAATATATTCTGAAATTAGGTTGTGGTGATGGTCATACAAAATACAAAAAACCACTGAAGTGCTCACTTTAAGTAAAGGGATTTTATGGTAAGTTGAACTGTATATCTCAATAAAGCTACAAAAAATAAGGAATTAATAAAAAGGTAATACATCTTCTGTCTGGTTAGTTCCATTAGTTGTTACCCCCATTTCTTCTCAACTCCCCCTTTCTTTATGCCTGACTGCTCTCTATCAGCTCCTAACTTCCTTTCTCCCTCCCCTCACCATCACTGCGGCCCTCCAGATAGAACCAACCTTCCGGGCGACACTCAGTCAGGGGCTAAGCTGAGCAATGTCCCCAAGCTAACAACTTCGCCACCCTCCCTTCAGAAAGCTTACCTTAATACCTTAAGTAGAATAGCAGAATAGGAGTTTAAAGTTTTACAAAACTCCGGGGGTAGGGGAAGACTATAGCAAATAGCTCCTGAATGCTCTCTATGTTTCAGGCAAAGTGCAAAGCACATCAACACCACTTTCATTTACTTCAGCAGTAGGCAGTTCTTACTACACTCACTTTGACATTTAATATTTATTAGGTACCCGGCTGTGTTCTGATGTTGGTCACATTGCAGTGAACGAGAAAGACAAAAAGTTTTAAAAACCTCTTAATCATGGAACTTATAAACAAAATAAGATAAATGAGGAAAACCTAAAGAACATTAATTGGTGATAAGTGCTATGAAGAAAAACAAAGCAGGAAATGATGAGAAGGGAATGTGGGGGAGGAAGGAGGTTACAATTCAAATTACGATGGCCCCACGGACGTGCCCTATGAGCAAGGCTTGAAGGAAGGCAGGGTGGCGCCACATGCCTATCTGGGAAAGAGGATTCCAGGCAGTGGTGTCAAGTGCCAAAGCCCCAAGGCAGGTAGTGGTATGTGCAGGAAGAGAGGCAGCAGAGTCGAAATGAGAGGTGGCACTAATCCTGCTATAGGTCACATAAGGGCCTTCTTCGTGTCCTCCTCAGAGGAAGATGGGGAACCACTGGAGGTTTTGAACAGAGAAAAACAATGACTCAGGACAGAGCTCTGGGCCCTCTGTCCTATCACCTCTGGGTCATGACTGACTGTTCTGACCCAAAGGAACTGGGCCAATCACTGATGAAGCCAATCAAAATTCATCCCCTCTCCAAAATCTGAACTAAACACAAGAGGCTGAATTAGCCAGTGTTGGGCCTTAAATGAAAAAGTGATGGACAGTCAAGGTTAGGATGGTTACTCTCCTGCCACGTCCATCTGACCAGAAGCCAACTTGAAATTCAATACTGGAAACCCAAAGGGAGGAGCACTGACAAGAGGAGGCAGCCCCAGAGAGAGGGACGGACAGAGGAACCTGCTGTAGGGTGAGGACAGGGATAATATGGGACTCCTGAACCTTCCAATAAATCTCCTGCCTTGGCCTCTTTGTGTGGGTTTCCCATCCTTATAATCAAAATCCCTGGCTTAGACAGGGAGCTATATTTTGTTATCTAAGTAGCACACGTGGGACTGAAAAGGCTGTCTGTTCCTGGCTCTAAGTTTAACCCAGCTCTAATAACTCCTAAGGGAAAGGATGGGCTACAGAGGGGCAGCTGACGCCATGGCCTTCCACCCAACCCCGGCTTCCCCCAGCTGTTGCTGGGAATATTACACAATGCCCCTAAGGTGAAAACTCATCAGAAATCGGGCAAGGTGCGATTTCAGTTACTTCACCCTCTTTTTAATTTCCTCCTGTGTCACTACCAGTGGCAGAGCTTTTCGAATATTCTGCTAGGCTAAAAAAACACATTTAGTGATATTAAGTTATTGTTACTCTTTTAGAACTAAGTTAATTAAGCTGTGAAATATTTGCTTTGAGTTAACTAGGTTCTGGGTATTTGAAGGTCCTGGAAGCTCTCTTACACAGGCAGGCTGCAGTTTTGTTCCTTGTGGACAACAGGGCCAGGGCTAACTGCTGTCCTCCCCCCAACACCCAGCCTCCTCCTGGGCAGCATTCCAAGATGGCAAGAGAATGCCCAGGAGAAAGGCAGAGATTAATGCTTCTCTGTCAACTCTCGACTGAACCTGTTCTGAACGGCTGCTTCTAATTCCAAGGGACACAGGGAAGGGAAGAATTACCACACAAGGGTTCCACTCAGAGCACGCATCTATGTGCCTTCTGCCCACAGGCATGCAGGCTGACTCTCAGCCACCACCAGAGAACTGGTCTGCAGTGCTGTACCCACTACATGGGACCCCAAAGCTGCTCATCTTTAGGTTGTAACTACCAAGACCCCAATACAAGCTAATCTCCTGCTAAGCCACCAGTTTATCTAACAAGACAAGTGAAAATTTCAGTAGTTACAATTACTGACAAAAATGCACCACTCCTACAGCACTCCAAAGACATGAATCAACCAATTCTCCCTGTCACCCTTGGAAATGGAATGCACTTTAGATGTTCTCTCAACATTTTGGCCGAAGCTGGGAAAGCGGCAGGGATTAAAATCTCAGCCCTCTGTCTTCCACAGGACACTAATCTCTTCATGCTAATAAATCTAAACAATCAGGTCACAGTCAGGTCATAATTTCCTTAGGAATTAAAGGTAAAAAAAAAATCACCACCATGTTCCATCTGCAGCAGCTTCAAAATAAATCTTTCTTCATGGCATGAAAGTTTAGTACTAATCTCATCCATGGTTTCATCTGGTTTTCTTATCCTTCTTTTCTCTTTATCACCATTTCCCTTGACAAGAATTTCAACCCTGTTTCCCTGCTGCATGTTTTTGTAAGAACTTGAAATCCTTTGGGGGAACAAACCTAAGCAATAAATATATTTCTCAAATGGGACCAAAGAACCTAGAATCATTCCAAATCACCCAATGATTACTTGCTGAATGTCTGTTTTACCCATTAGGTGGCAAGTTCAGTGAGAGAAAGAGTGAACACACAATTGGATGAACCAATGAATGAACAAACAGGTTTACTGTTGAATTGGCTGAAGGGCACAAAGCTCTTAGTGTGGCAAAGATACAAAGGGTCCTTGGGTGGCCTGTAAATTTTCTAGTAGACAATAATCTCTTCTCAGAAGCAACAGGGAATGGCTTTCTGCTCTCCCTCCGGGAGGGCTCACTCATAGGCAGAGCTAACTTCTTATCTGAGTTGCACGCAACATAAAAGGTCAGTGAGAATGTGTTCCACTGTCAATCTATTTCCCAAATGAGATTTGACCTAAATAGCCCCTAAAATTTTAAGAATCTAAGTAAGATTATAGATTTTTATCTCTGAGTCTTAAAGTGCAGATTACGTCCATGTTGTCTCTGAATATCTTATAAACACATTATTGTCACAAAAATCACAGAAGAGAAGGCAATAATATATAGTACTTCTTCCTATACGGACAGGTAGGTATTCATATAGGATGTATGTGTTCATCACATCCTATCAATGTCATTAAAACCTTTGCAAGGAATCAACAATAGGAAACCTGGACGTTACTAGGGAGCAAGTGGCCTTGGTTCTTCTTATTCCCCTTTTAGCCCAAGGTTTTATTTATGTGCATTAATGTTTCAACATTTATTGGTTTTGAATGTGATTTTACAACTAACTTTAGGTGGGGACTGTGGAACAGACTTCACACCCGCTCTTTTGGGAGATCTATTCTCTACTCTCCCAGAAAAAAAAAAAAAAAAAAAGGCAACCTTGAAAGCAAAGATGTAGTTCCTTTAAGGTACCTGGTGAGACTCCCTGCTTGCACCCCACCCCAGTGAACTAGAGAATGGTTGCGGTCATTGTGAAGGCACTCACCAGGGTGACAATGGCACATTCGGCCGTCAGCTGAGCAGCACTGAACAGTGTCCGAACAAACCGGTAAATCTGCTTCTGCTCTGGGTTGTGTTTATCATAATCTGGTGGCACTTCGGATTTCTGAGGAAGGAAATATTTTCAGATGACTGGCCACCCAATAAAAATAAAAGAGAAATAATTAATCACCAGAAGGAGGAGATTACCGAAAGAGGGTGAAGGTTTTCATCAAAAATATCTAAGAGCATCCTTCCATCTGGGTCCCTGGTGGGCAAAATAAGAGAAAATGGAGTTTACTTTCTGCAAGAATGTCATTCAAAATAAAATAAAAATATTTTGATTTAACATATTTCAAGAAACTGGAGTCAATGTTAAATGTTGAAGATGCTATTGGTTATCCACAAATAATAATTTTTCTTATGTACAATATTTAATCATTTTTATTTAAACCGTCTATGAAATAAAGGTTATAAACCACATTTAGCTGAATTAACCTAAGCAAAAAAATCTAGATTTTCATTTTCTGAGTTTTCAAATGAACCAAATTTAAGCAAGTGACAAACTTCTTTAAACATCTTGCTTCTCAGCAAAGGCTAATGGATATGCTTAAACCATCACCACATGGTAGCTGAAAGGAAAGAAGTGCAAGGGTAAAAATGAACATTCAGTGTGCCCTAGAAACTTATTTGAAATTTTCACAATATGCAACTTAAACACCTGTTTCACAATTTTATATCGAAAAGCAAGAGGTGATGTGTAGAAAAGGTTAACTCAGTAACCCATAAATCTATAAAAGAATGGCTGGTTGTTAGAAGGCCAGTAAATGTCATTTAAAGTGGTGACTTGCACCGTAAGCACAGTGCCTCAAGCTGGGCGCTGGAGACCAACAGCGCCTCACCAGCAACAGCTCTACTCTCATCTGTTTCACGTCATCTGACTTCTATCAGAGAGAAGGTTTCTACCACATTGAAACAGCGTATGTCTAAATTTACACCAAAGTTTCTTCTAATTTAAAACTATAAACATTTTTTCTCATGTTGAAGTTGCACACAGTAAATGTTTAAAGTAATATTTTATTTAAAAAGAGGTAGAATGTTAAGCAAATTATACAGAAAATCAAGAGTGAAAAGGAAGCTGGGCATTGTCAAGAAGATTTGTTCTGTTCTGTTGGCTTCAAACACAAACACCCATTTGGTTTCCTCTGATTCAGCAGTTACCTGGGAAGTTTTGGTAAATTATATTTACTCTAGAAATTCCAGGAAAACATGAGTAAAGAATACAAAGGCTGAAGCAACTAGGACCTAAGAGGAAAAAATTAGGAAAAACATAATAGGAGATAATGTGTAATGTTTTTAGCACAAAATTAATCATCTACATACCTGTTTTTGATGTGGTAATATATTGCGAGAGCTACACTGTAAAATAAAATGCAGGGTTCAATATTTCGTAAGCATATTCAAAATGCTGTATGTTATCTTTCTGACCATAAATATTTAAACTGAAGTAAAAGTCAAACGATCTACCTGAACAGTCCCATTTAATTCAGAATACTGATCAAGAAATCACACTCTTTAAAGGAAATCAATCTTGTGCTCATTCCCAGCAATTATTAAATCTTTTCCAGGAACACCAAAACTTCAAGAGGTATTTAGAAACAAATTCTCTTTCTACTTCAAATTTTAAGCTTTCTTAACTTGTAAAATATAGGCACTATGTAAAAACAGGTACTGCAAATCAAACACCATCGGATATTTCCAACTTAGTACCTCCTAGTTTAGAAAAACTGTGGTTTATTTATAACTACCAAAAAAATGTGATTATCACCCACAGTGGTTTGCTGTTTTTTGTTTTCTCTTAAATCAATAACCTCTTGGCAATCCACCTAACTTATTCATTCACTTGCTGAAATAGTACTGTAACTCTTATTTGTAACATTACCTTAAAATTTTATTTTACATTTTAAAAAATGTGATTTTAATGAAAACACTCCCCTCCCCTGAGTAATTTTTTCCAAGTAACGTTTCTCTAGTTTAAAAAAATGCATTATATTCATATTGTAGAACTTTTGGAAAATATAGAAAGCATATATGTAAAAAAGTAAACCCTCTGCCCAAAGATGACTACTATTAGCTTGAGATATATAGATATCTATTCCTATCTATAAATTTTATGTGTAAACAGGTTTGCCTACTACTTTTGTCATTAATATTTTTCTTACCATTAAAATATGCTTTAAAACATGCTTTTAAATGGCTGGTTACATTCCACTGTATAGCTGCTGAATAATTACTCCCCCTACTACTCAACACTTGTTTCTAGTATTTTGCAATTATAATTACACCATATTGATATCTTCATAGACAAATACTTGTGTAAACTGGGACTATATCATTTCCCTAAGAAAATACTCTGTAGTTGAAATTACCCAATCTGAAGTCATTAATAATCGTAAGGCTCCCCACACACACTGCCAGCTATTTTTGCAGAAAACTTGTGCCAGTGTACTTCCCCACCAGTGTCTGCTGCAACCTCATCCTTGCTGACACTTACCTTGAATATTCTGAAAAACGGTTCTCCAACCGGAGAGGTAAAGAAGTGTACCTGTTTCGGTGTGAGTTCAATGTGAGGGCTTTCAATGATCACCTATCAAGTTAGCAGGGTTATTCATGTTAACTGGCCAATATATTTTTTTTAATTTCCTCTTCTGTAAGCTGTCTAAATAAATCATTTCACTATTTTCGTTTTACTTTAAAATTTATTGAGGAGAACAAAATTTATTTTTTAAGCTTCTAAGAATATCACTAACTGGCTGCATCATATTATGCTCTGGGTACTCAGAACACAGAAACTGCCATCCAGGGCGTCAAGACACAGGTGGAGGGCTCAGTCCTAAACATTTCAGCTTACTCAGCTTTGGATTCCAAATAGCTCAGAGGCTCACCTATGACTTCCTATGACAACAGACAAGAAATCACTTGTCTTCCAAGTCTCTCTCTCTCTCTCTCTCTCTCTCGACCTATTCATTCATACGATTCCAGCTAAGTGTTAAAAGTCCTCGTGAGCAAATGGCAATATATTCTCTTTCTCCTAACATCTTCAAGTGTCCAAGCTGACAAAGGAATTGTAACTGGGGTAAAAGGGCTTCAGAATTAAAAATAAAAATAATACAATTTTCAAGCATACATTAACAGCCCTGTGATGACAAACAGCAGATGTTATCAACAAAATTCAGGTTCAGGCACTGGATGCCAGGATTTCTGACTGGTGGTTTTGGGCCCTTTCGTGCTACCACGTTGCCTCTGGGGAAAAGGAAGAAATTACCATTTAATTTGTTTAATAGTCATGCTGTGATGGCTTTTTTCTAATCTAATGTCGGAGTTATATTGATGTTTCGTATGATTGGGTTTGCTGTAGTGACTAGGTTCATCGCTTCGAGGGAGCATGACACAGGAAAAGGATTTCTGGATGGGGAGTCAGAACCACTTGGGTTTAAAACCTGGCTCCTTCATTTATTAGAGTGCATTTACCTCCCAGAGCCTACATCTCCTCACCTATAAAATCAGGACAATTCAACCTGTATTACACAGCTATTAGCATAACCACACGAAATATACAAAAGCATCATTTCAAACAAAGATCATGATTATTATGCTTATTCCCCTAGCAATAATTTCATCTCAAGGGGTGTTTTTGCTTCTGCAAATTGAGTGCAATCTTCAGGGCCCCAAGGTCACATCATCCTGGCCTTAGACTCAGGAAAAATAGAGCAACAAGGTAGGACAATTTCCCCTCAAGGTTACATCCCGACGACTAAGAAAATTAAGCTCAGAATTCACATACAGCACAGCTCCATGGGCCAGTTTAGTTGGTCATATTGAAAGAAGTGATTCTGGGGGCACAGAGCAGTCAGTTGAAAATCAGTCCCACACTTTGGGCTTTGGAGGCCTGGTCAGTTCTGCTACATCCTCAGAAAATGGTGAGGTCTCACCAAAGATGGGCTGGGGTCAAACCAGAAGTACATTTGGACCTAAGGATTTGCTCAGCTGCTTTTGCCACATAGCTGGGAATAAAGAAATACTATTTTCTTGACCAAGAAAACAAAACAGATTTGTGATTGCTGGCCTTGTACTTGTCCTCTTACCTAGTAAAGCATATGACAATCCTAAAATCTCTGAAGACCAAGAGGTGGTGGGTTCTGGCAGCACAGTGCAGCTGAGCCAGGGGGGTGCAGGCAGGTGGGCAAGCAGCTCTCTCCAACCCTCAGAAGCCAAGGACCATGGGTGATTTGGCCAGCAGCGTGCATGGGGCTCCCTACCTGCCCTCCACCCTTTTCTCTAATCGTCATTCCTATGCCTGTTACAGGATTTTTAAGGGGGAGATGGAGGTCGGCTGCAGAGGGATGGGGGTTGGTTAGCAAAGGCTAAATTCATACCACAGCCGTTGGCATTTAGGGGAAAGATGGGAAAATCAAGTTCTCAGAAATTATGCCTATGAAAAGAATGAGCACAGAATACCCAAACTTGCTACACTTAAAACTTTTCATTCACTGTTAGAACAGCACTTGACCCTCCATGCATTCCTCAACTAGAATTTGTAAATACGTTTGTTCCTTTTGGCAGCCCACAATTTATAGAAGGGTTTTCTTTCAAAAATTAAGTTAGAAATCGATGTCTAGAACTCAAAGGATTTTCTCAAAGAAACAAGGTCATACTTGCAAGTTCAGCCCACAGATACTCACCATGTCCACAAGGAATCTCAAGAGTATTAATGGTTTTGGTATTTTTAATGTCCCGGGGGAGGGGACCAAGAAAAGGGCTTGGATGTAGGGAAAGCAGAAGAAGCAAAAAAGGAAAATAGGAGTTTCCTTGTGATGGGTATAGGATAAGTTTTAGGCACAATTTCAGAATAGGAGGGCATTCGGATTTAGCTTCTTCCTATCCTGCTTTTTGACACTACTCCTTCTTCTGAGTACCCCTTTCCCCTTACACCGTCAAAGACCCTGGCTGAAGTTCAGCCAGACCTGCTAACACCTTGAAATGTTCTTTACTCTTTAGCTCCTTGATTATAACCCAGTCAAGTGTGAGATGCAGGCATTTACAGGGAAGGATTCTGATGGTACTACTTCGATTAGGGTCCACCCTGCTTCCAGGTCCAAAATACACATTTTGAAAAAGATGGCACTTTTAAAATAAATGAACTACTGACTAAAAGAATTTCAGGTGATGCAGAGAAGATGTCTTCTGGATCAGGGAAGTCACAGTATCTATACTGAATGTTTTGTTTCAACAGTCTACTCTTTAACTGGGCCAGCTTTTAGCTCTTTTTCCTCCACATATTAACCTATAATTTCAAAGTTTCAAGTGAACTTTGGTGGGGTAGAGGAGAGCAACTGTCCACTTACATCAGGAGTTCTCAAACTTGGCTGCCTACTAGAATCTCCTAGGGAGGGTGTTAAAAATCCAGATACCAGATCTGTAGGGCAAGGCATCAAACGTCACTGTGCTTTCCAGCTCCCAGAGGACTCCAGGGTGTAGCCAGGGCTTGGAACCACTGGTTTGCACAGCAGCACATTTGTAACTTAGGGGACACTGAACTATCAAAGTGTTAGCCAGTTTTCCCACCAGGCTCCTAAGTGTCTATGTCACAACTGGTGGCAATTTTAAGTTGTCCAAGGGGAAAGTGTTAAACAACTGAGTGGGATCCATTTGTAAATCCCAAGAGCTCCTGCTGGCCATGAAAGCGAAGGCGCCTCTGCTCTACCTGGCCTCCCTTCCCATCCAAGAGGGTCCCGGGATTAAAGGGAAGTTAGCAGCTTTCATTCCAGGCTCTCCAGAACTTGTGCAGATGTCAGCCACCACACGGTACACAGATCTTCAGCACTTTCCGCTGCTCTCCACAATTACTAATGATTTACTCTAGAAACTACTTCCAAGAGCTACTGTACTTCCTATTTCCTGGCAGTAAACCGTGGCCCCAAGGCTAGGACATGCATACCTCTTCCCAGCTGCAAACGTGGACCACTTGGGTTTATGCCCACTTGTCATTTATCAAGCCCTTAAATGCCAAGATAATAAGGGAAGAAGCTGCATTTCTATTTCGATCTCAGAAAACATGCGGCCCTTGAGGATACAAGGCAGCCTCCCTCCAAGTGACCCCATTCCCCTCCCCAACCCCCCTCTCCAGGAGAGGCTGCTTTCCACAAAAGACTGACACAGTCCCTGCTGCCTGACTGAGGCTGGGATTTACTGTCACATATGGTCACACTCAGAATCAACATGGCCCACTGAAATGAAAGAATACTTCTTATTCAGAAATTTAAACACTTACATCAGACACTAACTTGGCCTGTTAACTGTGTAATTTCTTAAACACATATAGAAATAAAATAACCCAGGTTTTTTGCAGTTGAAACGATGACTACAGACCCCAGCACATCAGGTTTTCTGTGATCTCTGTTGAAGGCCATTATTATCATAATGCTAATGGGAACATTATAAGAAAAAAGTGGTCCTTTCCTCTTACCTTCTATTTTAAAATAAGGAAACTGAAGCCCAAAAGGGAAAGGAGTTTATCCAAAGACTCCCCCCTTCCTCCCTTAAGCCCCATTTTAAAATAAGGTTCCAAAGAGAAGGGTCTTACCCAAACCCTCCCTGTTGCTGAGAGAGCCAAGATTAGAACTCAGATCTCTCGATTCTGGGCAAATACACCATCACCGTCGGGCCTGCTTTCTACTGTAACCCCGAGTCATAAATGGGACCACAAAAGACCCACTTTATTTCAAAGGTAAAATATTAGTTGAGTTATTCCAGGATGGCTTTAATAAAAAGTGGGGAGGTAAAAATCAAATACATGTTTTCACCTACATTTAAAATAATTTTTAAATTTGGTCTTTTATGTAAATGGTAATGTGCACAAATATTTTGAACACCCCACATTTTAACTACCAAGATCACTTTTTAAACAGATTTCCTCAATAGTCAATGGCCTCCTCCAGCCCAGTCTTACCACTTCCAGACCCCACAACCAGCCAGTTAGCTGTCAGGTTAAGGAACAGAAAAAGCATTCAGTTAAGCAAAAACGAGTATACCCACCATTTAATTGTATACTTGAGGTTTGGTTGACTGACTGTGCTATCATCTAGGAAAATAGTGGAGCAGGAACTGTATTTCCTCGCTATTTGTCCTGGAGGATGCTAGAAAACAATGGCAACAAGACAGGACAATTAAGTGGGACTCCAAATTCTTCCAAGAAACATCATCCCCTTAAACTCAGTATCAGACCACAGAGGAAAAATGTCTTACCAAGAAATAATACCACCAGCAAGAACAGTACAAAAACACTTTCTTCATACAATGAAATCCCTTGTTCTTCTACATGTAAAAGTCACCGCCACCACTGCTAGTCCCAAACCTCCTTCACTGGGAGAACAGTACTCTCTTGCAAGCAAGCACCAAAGAGTGTGTTGCAGAGTCCATAAAAATCACCTGCCCTGGGGCCTGTGTGAAACAATTAGTACACTGCTCATTACACCAGTGAAAGCCCCTAATTAAGGCAGCATCCTGGTTTTATGCATCAAGATGAAGGCAAGAGACAACTGTACCCATTTTCTTTATTCTGGGGGTACAGCTGATTTGGAGGCCATGGAAAATGCAGCCAATGTAAATTTAGACCTCCTGGTTAATCAGCTTGATTCAGGAGGTGAAGTTATAAAGAAAAAAGTATTGCTTTGTTAGGGGCAAAACACATTTTAAAGAAGAAGATTATCTGATACTTTTGAAAATACAACCAATGGATGACCTTCAGGTAGTGCCTGTTCTGTCTTATGACTGGTTCTTTCACAAATGTAAAAACTTTGGGCTCTCTGAAGCACCTCAGCACTGAGTACTACTTCTGAAAGGTACTGGTAAAGAAAACAGAATTTAAATTATACACTGATGACATCTAATTGAATACTAAGTAGATTTTAGCCAATATGTGCGCGATATGATTAGTAGACATTACTCCAGATAATTCTTATTCAAAAGCAAGTTTGGGAAAAAAATAAAATAAAATCACCCAAACAAGTTTCCATTTACCTGGTGCTATGTTGACAGTCTAAGAGGCATTTTCAGCAACTGATGCAAATAATCCCTTCAGGGCTAATAAAATTGGCTGCCTCAAGTGCCCATCTGCAATAAAATCCTGTGTCCACACTTCACAAATGTAAAGGAAGCCTTAAAGCTAATCAGAGACCAAAGGCCCTATTTCACACTTTAAAATTTACTTTATATTTAATCATGTTTCCTCTGTAATAAAATTATGAAAATATGCAATAGCCTGAGAAATACAAAACCAATGTTATAAACAGAATCTCTCCTCAAAACTAAATAAATGGTAATAGTCACGATTTCAAGTGTCCAGTTCCTTAGACCACAGCTAGAGGGCACTGCACTACCAAAACATTACAACCCTCCCTGGCACTGGTTTATAAATAGCATGTGGGTCAGAAGGAAATAACCAAAGTCAGGAAATTCAGTTCTTGGGCTTTCCTTCGTAAGCTCACACTGTTTTGTGCCTGTGTAAGGAAAGGGCACAAAAAAAACTTGCAAAGTTCAAGTTACAATTTGAATGTCAATTTTAAAATGGCATTTTCACATCTATCAAATTAATCACAACATTCTCATTACGACAATCCAAAGACACTAAAAACAATTTTTTCTCTTTTTAAGCTCTTATAGCAATCATATTTAAGTCACACAAAACACATTAAAAACTCAGAACATAATACAGCTATTAATACAGGTGGCAAGCTTTTAAAGGTCTTATGAAATTTTCCCCATGAGTGTAAAATCTACTACAAACAAAATCTCAACAGATATTATGTTTAACACAAAAATTCAGTAATTAATTGATGTTAATGAATTTTTAGAGACGCAGGGTAACTTTAGATATAATCCCAACAATGAAGCAAAAGGACAATAATAATTCACCTTATTTCGTGTGGTTTCAACTATTCCTTCTGACACAAATTTCTCAGGATTAAAATGTGATGGGAACTGCGAAGAATAAATAGTTTCCCTAAGAAAACATGAGCATGGGTGTCAAGGAGAGGATATGAGGCAGGTGAACATCATCCACATCCCTCCACAGTCTAAGAAACTCCCTCCATGAGCCCACGGGCAGGCACACCCCTGGGCAGGCACACCCCCGGGCACACACAGTCCCCTAAGGGTCAGAGGGTTACCTGAAAGCAGCCCCACAGAACGGCAGCCTCCCAGCACTCAGGGCTGGCGTGCCACAGCCCTCAATTTGCCAGGGGAACACCAACTAAGCTTTCAAACTCTATAACAACGTCTAAATTGAATACAAATCCTCGGTATTGAGTTATAAAGATTTTTAGTTGCAGGGTGCCTCATCAGTCTAAAATACCATTTAGGTGTTAAGTCACTTGTTGAATGTCAGGACTACAAGATTCAGAGAATGCATACTTCTCTGGATCTGAAACCCACGTCACTAAAAGGCTCAAATAATTAGAATCCTGCAGCCGAAAAGCTCTTGCCTCTGGGGTTGCTCTTCTGCTCTGGTTTCTGTTTTGAACTGTTCTGTGTAGCAGAGGGAAGGGAGAGCCGGCCCAGGCACCCACACCTTCCGACAAGCAGCACCAATGAGTGTCCTGCAACACAGACAGCTGGAATGTCTGTGAAGCCTCTGAAGCATCAGAGACACAATGTACATTCACGGAAAAGTGTGTTCTCATGTGTTCAATATTTTGAACAAGCACATGGTGCACCAAATATATGGTTCTCAGTTTTAATATTATATAGCATACTACTACATTAATTTAGTCATCCCATGATTCTGAAAAGTCCATATGCTTGTACATGTGTATGTTTGGCACATCTAAAATCTTCCAATTAGGTTTCAGTCTTGCTCATAGATAACATGGCCACATGATGCGCTGGAGAGCTGCAGTCAAGAAGACAGGTGCTAGAGTGGCAACTGCAGGTGCGAGCTAATATTTATAAAGTGCTTAGAGCAGGGCCAAAAAAAGAGAAACATTACATCACTCCTTGTTAAATAAAAAGTACATTAAACATGTCAAAAAAAGTGACAGGAATGCTTTTTTATGCTAATGTCTGTAACTTATTAGAAAACTTATTAGAAAGAAAATACCTAAGACAAGGTTTTACTGGAAAAGGAAGGGCACAACAGTATCGTTAGCTGGCTCAGACAGATGGTACCAAGAATGACAGTCTTGGTGAAAGAGCAGATACTATAATGTCAACCATAAACTGCTTGGAAGAGCAGCAGAGAACAGTCCAATCAGTGAGAAGCCCAATTATGGATTTTAAGGAAATAAATGCTCTAAACTATTTTTCAGAATATTTTAAGAAAATAAAAATTTTTATCTTTGAAATAGTGTATATTTTACAAATTAAGTAATAAACACGTGGCATAAAACTTTTTAGAACCAGAGCGAAGATCATCTAGTCCACCTATTCACATAATGTCCACAGTATAAAATAACCTATTTACACCCAGATCCATTAACAGACAATTGTTGGACTGTGTATTTAAGAAGGTTTTATTGAAGAGTTATCATGTGTCCCAAATAATGAGATCATCCCTTTCTGTGATTCCAATTAGATGTCTGTCAGATACAAAGATATGTAGATTTGGGGCACCTGGGTGGCTCAGTCGTTAAGCGTCTGCCTTCAGCTCAGGTCATGATCCCGGGGTCCTGGGATACAGCCCCACTTGGGCTCCCTGCTCAGCGGGGAGTCTGCTTCTCCCTCTCCCACTCCCCCTGCTTGTGCTCTCTCTCTCGCTGACAAATAAAATCTTTAAAACAAAAACAAAAAACAAAGATATGTAGATGCACACACACACAAACACACACAGACAATCCAGGTGCAAAACAAAGAGAAATGGGGGTACAGGGATAAGACACTGGACCCTCCACAATGACCAGAAATCCTTCTCCCAAGTATTCCAACCCCCACCTTCTTCTCAGATCCTCTGTCAGCTGCCTCTGAGCTCCCGCAGCACCATGCATCGCAGAGAACTGAGAGCCCATGGGGCAGCATCCACCCTACTGCTTCTTCCTCTCTTGCAAATGAACGTGCCCCCCTCACCTCCAGTGGAAGACCTACCATTCTCCAGGCCAGGGCTAGGTAATGACTCTGCTTATTCAAATTTTCTAGAAGTTGGCTCACACTCCACATGCAATACCCATTCACAAAGAATCCCAAACTGCTATTGTAACGAGTACTTTCCAGTCCTAGCTCTCTCCTAGTTTCCTTCTATTTTTCTGGCCACTCAGGTCCCTTTTTGTGGACTCCACTTCTCTGAACTCCCTGGAAGGTGACAGTCTTTTCTTCTCCCTGTATACTCTCTCCCTACCCTAGGGGGTCCTCCTGTAGTCTCATTAGTTCAACTTCCTTCTATTCTCCTTTGAGTCCCAAATCTCTCCTCTTTGGCAAAATCTCTCTTCCAAGCTCTCCACCTAAATGTTCCTCATAGGCACCTCAAATGACAAACGAATCTCTTCTTCCATTCAACTAATAACGGCTTAAAACCAGAAACCCACAAATATTTGTCTTTCCTTTGGTATCCTTGCATCAAGTACTATTGATTCTACCTCCTAAATACATTTCAAAAGCATTTTCCTGTACATCCCTCCAGCCACTAACTGGTATATGAATGGCCTCCATCACTTCTCACCTGTATTACTGCAAAAGCCATCCTGTCTCTAGGCTCATTCCTCTCCAAACCAGTCTTCCTCTGACGCTACTGTGATCTTTTTACAAAGCAAATCAGATCATGTCACCATCCTGCTTAAATGATTCGGAGGTTCTCCATTGCAGGGAGGAGATATTCATCACCTCTTCATGTCCCCAGGTCACCACTCACTTCTTCCACATACACTACACTTAGATATAATTAAACAGTGACATGATGACAGTAACAACAACAACTTTTATTTAATGGCCATCAAATAAAAGCCAACAGTATTCTGGATATTTTACATGTGTTCATTTACAGCTCACAAACCCCTAGCAAGGCAGGCAGAATTCTCACTTTATAGATAAGTCAAAGGAGGTCAGCAAAATTAAGTAATGTTTCCAAGGTCAAATCTAAGACACTAGAGTTCACATTTGTGAACACATCTGTCTGACTCCAAAGTCCATGCCTTCCTACCAACAGCAGAAAGGGCAGTGCCATGTATTAACAAGCTGGCAAACAGGAGCTCATGGCAAGGGCTCTTGCCAACGGACAAGAGAAATAATGACGCGCTCAGGACACACCGCAGCGGGGCAGTGGCTGGCGAAACAAAGGGGCCAAAGTCCTGGCTCTCTTGTGGTCCTGCTAGGAGCTAATGTGGACGAGACACTCCAGTACAGGTGAAGCAAGAGCATGGCTGGAGTGTGAAAGCCTGGAGTTCAGGATGTAGCTCTGCCACTGATTAGTTATGTAAACTTGGGCGAGTTAGTTAAGTAGGATGATGACATGTCCTGGCTCGCTGGGGACAGTCCGAGTTTGCCCGTTGTCCTTGAGTAACCAATAATAGCATCCCTTTTCACACTCAATAGTGTCCCCGTTTGGGCAATAAATATGCTTTACCTCCCCAAGCTTCAATGTCTTCATCTATAAAATATGGAGAGCTCATCGTGGTGCTGGGAGGGCTATCCCAGGGTAATACCTGGGGTGCTGAGCACATGGACATGCTCAACGAGTATTATTAAGTCACTTAATAACACTTAGTCTCTGTGCTTTAACTTCCCATTTTCAATGGTTGGACAAAACTGACAAAACTATTTCTTAGGGTTTGTTAGGATCAAATAAAAATAAAGCATTAAAAAATATGAGGTAATATTAGCAGAGGAAAAAAGTTGTAAAAGTTTGAAAAACAAATAAAATCTTCAAAAATGAAAGTTCCCTCATTTTTTTTAAGCCATGACCTTCATTGAGAAGGCTAGTTTCCCAGAGCACAGAGAAATGAAATTTGCACTAGTATTCCTTTATTAGGAATTAACTGAAGGCCTGATGTGTGCAAAACATATGTGGGAATAGCACCGGAGAGGTGGACAAAGGGGCTGGGGTGCCCACGGCCACCACCTGCCACCACCCGAACACTCACGATGTGTAGATAGCCTCCTAAAACCATGAAGGCATCTAACGATTAAGAAAGTATCTTTGCCCAAGTCACACAGCCAACATGGAGTGGATACAAGGACATTCTGTGCAATTTGCAAGTCCATACAAACCCTCTTATCCAAGAGGGAAGAAGCACTCACAGCTGAGACCAGCAGCCTTCCAATACCACCAACAGGCCTCAGAGACCCGATGACAAAATAACAGAACAAACAAAAGAAGACCCCTCATCTCTGATCTCAAGGTATTAACAAACTAATATTCCATGGAAGAAAAAGGGAGACTGAACAGCTTTTAGCAGGATCAATTTTTTATAGCAGGGAAAAACTGCAAGTTCTGAAAAACTAAAAGAAAAAGCAAACATCCATGGAACTAAGAACCGAAGCGGACAAAATCATTAATTTATGGAAACAGAAAATAAACCAACATTGGATTTCAAGAACAAAAACGGGGCCAATGCCAGCACTGAGGTCAAATTATGCTCTACTGTGAGTCATGCATGCTGTCACTACAAAATAATTACATTCATAATGTACTTCAATCCCAGGTCAAATCTTGGCTTTATCATGGCTCAGTGCACCAACTCTACAATGAGAAGTACTTTTTGTCATTAAATTTCTGGCTGTGAGGCAAAATCCAGAAATATAATCTTTTAGGCTTGGCACCATCTGAGGCAGAGATTTTCCTGACAGCACTGAGAGCTGAGTGCTGAGGGTGTGTGGCGTCGCCCTGGGCCTCCCAACCCCTCCGGAGGCTTCCGCAGGGCAACTAGGACAGCATGTATTTACTGCTCCCTGGGTTCTTTCTGCAGCTACAAAAGAAACAGAGGTTCATTTTCCAAATAACATTTTTTCTATTACTTCATTTCTTTAATGCAATGGCATATATAGTCCAGGCTGTATTTTCTGGGTAGGGTGGGGTGGGAAATGAGCATATTCCAGAATGCTGGGGGCAAAGTAGGGTGGATGTTTATCCAATGTAGGTCTTAAAATTTTTAATTTACAGAAAGACTCAAAAATAGGTTAGACTTGCCTGAGAATATAAGAAATTTAAGTTTCTTTCCTAATTCATTTGAGCTCACTCTTCTACATAATTAGGAAACTGTTGCAGAAGCTCAAATATGCACAATGCAAATGTTTAAGGGCCCACACATATCCTATCTCCATTGCCATTCATAACTATCCTGCGAGACAGTTCTGGGAGGTAAGCAATAGCATTCCTCTTTATGGGTGACAGAATCGAAGCACTTTACCAAGTCACACAAGAACTGGGCATCACAAAGTGGAGCTCTATCAGAACAATCAGAATTCAGGCCATCTGACTCCTAATAAAGTGTTCTTGCTACACCAACTTGTGCCCTTCAAAATTCTCAATGAATGCAGTTATAGTCCTATTGGTAAAAATGTTCCTGGTTCCTGAAGGTTATTTCTTCTCTTGGGAAAAGTTTAAAAAGTAAAAAGGAAGTAAAGAAAAAAATAAGAGTTGCGATTTGAAGAAACAAGTAGCTAACTGTTGATCAGAGTTTAAAACTGAATTCATAAAACTGCAGACACAATATGAAAAGCCAAAGACCAGCTACTTTGAAAACCAGTTTGGCAATTCCTCAAAATGTTAAATATAGAATGGCCATATATCCCAGCAATTCTACCCCTAGGTATATGCCCAAGAGAAATGAAAATATATGTCCACACAAAAACCTGTACAAGAATGTTCATAGCAGCATTATTCAAAATAGCCAAAAGGTGGAAACAACCCAAATGTCCACCAACTGATGAATGGATAGATAAAATATGGCCTAGCCACATGATGGAATAGTATTTACCATAAAAAGGAATGGAGTTCTAATATAAACTAATTCAATGTGGATGCACCCTGAAAACATGCTACCGAAAGAAGTCTGTCACAAAAGGCTACATAATGTACGATTAGATTTCTATGAAATGGTCAGAAGGGACAAATCTGTAGAGGCAGGAAGCAGAGTAGTGGTTGCCAGGAGCTGGGGGGAGAAGAAGAACAGAGTGACTGCTGATGAATACAAGGTTTCTTTTTGGGGTAATGAGTACATTCTAAAATTGACTGTGGCAAGGGTTGCACAACTCTATGAATATACTAAAAACCACTAAATTGTATACTTTAAATGGGTGAATTCTGTGGTACGTAAATTATATCTCAATAAAGCTGGTTTTTTAAAAAATACATTTTTCATAGAAGGAAAAAAATAGTTAAAAACCAGAAGCAAGAAAACACCTGATGGGATGGACTAGAACTGGAAATTAAAGTATGAGTAGGAATTAATGATTTCTAAAACATCTCTTTCCTAGCCATGTTTGCTAAATGGGCCAGTGAGAAACACTGACACCGAGCAGCAAGGAGTACGGGGGGGGCTAGATCTGGGTTTCTAATACTCTTGTCACTGGGGCTGGTGCGGGGGGCGGGGGGGGCGGGAAACCAGGGCTCCCTGGAAAAATGGCTGATTCCAGGGAGAAAAAAAAAAAAAAAAAAAAATCTTACTGTACCAAAAAGCAAGAGAGTGCTCAAAAAAAAAAAAAAAAAAAAAAAAAAGATGGGGCATGCCGCAAGAACATAGAGCCAGTTTGAAAAGACTGCCACTAAAAAAACTAGGGAAATATGAGCATCAAAATAATTAAGGACAGAAATGGCTATCATTAAAAAAACAGAAATCCAGAAGTCCATACTAAAGGTGGATGGATGGTAGAATGGGTGGATGGGAAGAAAGGGTTCCTCTGAGAACAGAATAATGACTGCCACATGGGGAGGAAGCAATGGGGCTGGAAAATTAGCATTCTGCAACCAAAATATAAAGATTGGTTCAAGCAAGAATGATCAATAGATGCTAAATCTGGGGTTGAAGATAAGGAGCAGGATATTTGCATGGCCCATAGGCTGCTTATTAGTTGGCAGGGGGAATGCCATTAAATACTGGGTAGAGAATCTGGACAGCTCCTTGAAGGGTGATCAAAATCAAATTCACCAATGAAGTCAGAAGGATATTGTGTCTCCAGATTTGAAACACTAAGAAGCGCAAGGGAGCATTCCATGAAGTATTCTGGCTGCAAATGCTTTCCTAAATCCTTCAGACAAATCCAAAATGAGAAGCATTCTGTTAAAAAAACAAACAAACAAACAAAAACAGGGGTGCCTGGGTGGCTCAGTCATTAAGCGTCTGCCTTCAGCTCAGGTCATGATCCCAGGGCCCTGGGATCGAGCCCCACATCGGGCTCCCTGCTCAGCGGGGAGTCTGCTTCTCCCTCTCCCACTCCCTCTGCTTGTGTTCCCTCTCTCGCTGTGTCTCTAACACTCTGTCAAATAAATAAATAAAATCTTTAAAAAAAAAAAAACTGGGGCGCCTGGGTGCTTCAGTCAGTTAAACATCTGACTCTTGGTTTCAGCTCAGGTCATGATCTCACAGGTCGTGAAACTGAGCCCTGCGTTGGGCTCCATGCTAAGCTGGGAGTCTGCTGGAAGATTACCTCCCTCTGCCCCTCCCCTCCTTCAAATAAATAAATAAATCTTTAAAAAACCAACCAAACAAAAAACACCTGGCCCTGTACTCTTCGACAATGTCAGCG